ACAATTATCCTCTCTGTATCGAAAGACATGGTCCGCGATTTTCTCCATGAGTGCGTGGGACCCGTATGGCGTATCACCCAGCGTTATTGACTGAATAAGCCCGTGCGTGCCCCCGCGACTTCGGTTTCCATCGCACGGAGCCGGGCTCCGTTGTGTAGGTGCGGAGCGCGCCTCACAGTAACTGACACCCGCACTGGGCCCCGCGACCAACCACTTATGTATGAAATCGCGCGAGAGCCCGCTTACCGCAGTTTAATGCCTATTACTATGTATGCAGTCCTGGGGACTTACTCTTGAATCCAATTCCCATCGATCTATATTGACATTGTGAAATTTCGTACTCTTTAGTTGCAACACTAGCGCACATTGCATCCGTATTGCGCGGATATTGAATGAACGAATGAACTAAGGAAATGGTAGATATTGAGTTTAGCTTGATATTCCGTACTCTGCATGCTATTTTAACAGCTACGATTGTGGTTGTATAGTGTTGACATTGAATAATTATTGAGATTTATTTGGGTTGAAATTGCATTAACATTGAGATGAGGTTTAGGATTAAGCACCCTGGTACGGGCGAAGGAAATGTTATCTATTTTTCGAGATATTGCAAGATTTTAGCATATAACACCTTTTATCCCCGAGGGGGTAGGCAGAAGTGTAAATTATGCCACTAATGTAACACCCACTTTTCACTATTTATGTTATGAGTCCCATGTAATAGGGGGTAAGCCTATTGCCATATAGCGGGCACAATTCCAGACTCCGTGCTACTACTGTGAATTTTTTGAAAAACCCAGTAATACTTTACGAACCGGGAATCGAACCCGAGACCCCTTGTCCGGCAGTCGCACTTGCGACCACTCGGCCAATGAGGATTGAATGGAAATATGTACTTAAATAAAACGTAAATATTTTTTAAATAATTTTATTATTTACTAAAAAGCAATAAATATATCGAACATAGACTCTATCAATAAATTAACAAAATTTATGTTAACTTTACATAAAATTCATATTTGGCATCACAGTACTTTCGAAATGTTATGTAGGTATGTGGTAACACACAGACAAATTCATCACTTGATTTTTAAATCACTTTGGACGTTAAGACACTGAACATAAATTATATTTTTCAACAATTCAGCCCTAATTGAGACATTTTTCCATTAAGAGCATAAAATTTAGTGAGTTTTTAACAAAACTATAAATAGGTAGCTAACCGTTATTTACACTCCTAGATCGATTCAAGACACATTACCATCTCAAGATTTTAAACTACACATAGACAGATATTTATTTTCAAACGATAGATAACATACAAATGCAAATAACATTAATAAATCGAATCATACAAAACATTTAGTAAATATTTTATTTTTTAATCTTGCAACATTTAGTTCAAAGCCATGTACACACTGGTGGGTAGGATGTCAAACTTCAACTGTATTTTTTTACATAGCAAAACTTATACAGATTCTTTTAAATATGTATTGTATTGTAAACGTAGAGAATTAAACAATTTGTATATTTAACCACTAATTTTATTATTGTAAATTTACGTTTTTATTAATGTCTATTCGCTATTGTCGCGCGTTCGCGTTAATGTGTACATAGCACAATATCTAAAATTATTAATTTATCTATGATTATTACGCTATAAAATGGTAAAACTTACATAAACGGTGCAAGTAATATCTTAGTGAAGTATGACAAAAATGTTACACAATATATCGATATCGATAAACTCTTCAACGTCAGAATCAGCACCACTATTGTATCGATATTATTTCAATATTAGAGAACCAATAAGCTTTATATTAGACGTACCGAATTGGGAATCGAAGCATACACTTTTCTTACATTGCTGCAAACATTTGAGAGTATCGATAAAACTACCGCTCGCTTTTCTATCGATCTTACCAACTATTTTTTAGGAAAAACAGTTACAATATTATTAAATAACCACACGCAGACATTACGATCGCAAGCTATTTGAAATAGCTTCTGATTATTTAACCGTGTTTTTATATTAATTTTCGCATTAATCGGCACCAGTTTTGCGCGCTCTGGCGTTAGACTGAAGTTAAAACTTTAGTTTTTCACTTTACAAAAGCACCTCTACATTGTAGCTGTTTTAATATTTAATTTAAAAAATTACAGGCATTTCATAATAGAACTTCTTCCCTCCTAATTCATAACAACAAGGCTCACACAACAAGGTCTACTCAAATACATTTTTTACTTCTAGAAATCTCAATATATTGAAGTTTTTAAATCTCGACACTATCTACAATCTCCTACAGGACTCTATTCAGCAAATTAATATAAAAATGGAACACATTGTTTGGAATTATTTAGCCTAACTATTGAAAAGGCTTCACGGCACACGAATTTCAATAAGATATTTAAGATTTCCAAGAAACTTCTAGGCAATTCAGGGGTTTTATGCAAGAGTTTTAAGAATTTTTTTCGTCCATTGCTTTGAAAATTGACATTTATAATTTAATTTCTAAACATCGATGTTTTACTAAAGCAACGGGACAACCCTTGACAATGAACCTTAATTAGCGCTTGACAAATGCGGCCATTGAATTAATGCGATATATTTTATGTATACTGAGTCGACATTACATACATTTAAATGTACTTTTCAACATCACTTTTAAAAGGATAATCGCCTTAAAATTATGTCACAGAGTATGAAAAATACAGAAGACACACTTTTATGTACAAAAACAACTATTTTACAAGTTGATAGTTTTTTCGTGACATTTTGAACTTTGTGTTTCTTCTGTACTCTTCATATATTTTGTGTTAATGCTAAGTTCATAGTGTTAATAGACGCGGTGCGATGCTTCATCGAGGATTTCTTCATGGATTACGCCGGAGTTTTGCGAAGAAGCTGTAACAGTTACAATTTGATAAAGTTTTTATTAATCTAGCACGTTACTTTAAATTGTTTCACAAGCTCTCTATGGAAAAGATAAACATCTAAATAAAAATAACTTAAATGAGTACCTAAAGAAATACAACATATAATAGGAATTTGATATCTTCCTGTTATAGGAAATGCTACCTATTCAATCAATTAATACAAAAAATATTGTAAGAGCCTGTTCAAAATTGACATAACAAAGGGCTTGTGAAACTAGCAACATAAAAACAATTATAGCGAACAAAACTTACCAAAAAGTGTGTGTGCAGTGCAACATAAACGATGACATGGAATGGACATACATACATTGAACAATAATCTGTACATTATGGCCTATTGCAGACATTTGACCTTAGTATCATGCATAAATATAGATGGAATGATTCTGGCGCGGAATTAAGTTTTTAATAGAATAGGGGCAAATTAACAATCGACAAATCCCCTGGTAAGTGATTTGGGTGTACAAAATATATAAGAAAATTTTATAGAATTTGCGTTGATCTCCAGTGTATTTTAATATAGATAAAAATTAAAATTATATGAGGTAGATACAGTGCAATCAATCTGTATTGTTAATAAAAACTTTCTCAAAGTCATTCCACTGATCATATACTCCATGACAATCTGAAACGCTATTTAAACAATCTGCAATGGGCCATATTATACTTTTACATGAGTGCCAATAGTGTAGTGCACACAGTGGGTGCAAAATGAAACAAAAACTACTGCTTTTATGTTTAAATTGTACAGAGGAATCTCGTGAAGTGCTATTAACACAATTAGGGTGGGGAAAGTGACAATATCGATAAAATATTTCATCGACTTTTAGACAACGGCAATCTTCGCAGGGCATAAGTCAGCAAATAAAAAGACTAAAGATTGTTCGAGAATGATCTCATATAATATCTTATACATGTATAACAACTTACAGGGATGCATCACAAGCAACAAGCTATGTCATATAATCGTATCTCCCGTCTATACCTAACTAGAAATCTTCTGAACTATGTATATAGCATTAGATTTACATTGAGACTCTTGACTATATACTTTTAGAACGATTCAACATCTTTATTTACTAATTTCGCTTTGTGACATTAGCAGCATTAGCACTTAACTTCAATATTCAAGCAAAGTGCTCAAGCCGCTAGCAAAATTGACAAAAATATAATAACTATCAGATCTATTCATGTTCAATGCTACAGATCAACGGTACTCCTACATTAGAAGCGTGTAAACATGCTTGTTCACTTTACAAAGCAGTGTAGACTCTACAAATAAAACACAATAAAATAAAAAATAAATTATGCAACACAAAACACTGATTACTAAGATCTAGTCATAAATAGTACTTAAACATTTATAATAAAATGCAAAATGTTCACATTAAAAAAAGATAACAATATTTTCATGTTGCAACACTAGTCAATTAAAATGAAACAGATCTGTAGTCAAATTAATAAATTAAAAAAATATAAAATTCATTAAAGTAATATATTATAATCATTAAAATATATTTTGATTTAGGCAAGACATGATTAAATTCTACAACATTACACTTATTTTTATAAATTGTTAAACATTTTATATTATAAATCTCGATTCTAAGATAAAAAATTAATCATTCTCAATATTATTTTCGTAAACATCGAATATAAAAGGTGATTTCTTTGAAATCGTGAGATTGTTAGTCAAAATTGTATAATAATATTTAAATTTGACGAAACACTTAAATTGTACTCTAAGGTACGCGGACATACAGACAAAAAACTTATTAAAAATATCGATATCGATAAATCGAAAAGTATCGATGGAACATTGTTCATAAAATGTACAATTCTAAGCGTCACCGACCGTTTTAGTGCAACACCATTTTATTGTGAATAAAACTGTACAGGACTGAATATTTTTTTATTGTTTTATTATTTAAATTACAAATAAATAAGAGATCAATGATTTGTGTTGGTGTTATGTGTAAAACGGTCGCGTATGGCGCGTGTCGAAATAAATAAAAGTATTATTAATCTATATCATACATCGTGACGTTCGCCTTTCGTTCGCCTTATTTCTTCCTCTTTAGTTTCGGTATCCTGGAAGGCGTGCGTGTGAGTTAGGAGCAGGCATATGTGAATTATTTATATAGATGATAACTGTGAAACTATTTCCCCAAAAACCTTTGTAATAACCAGAGACCATAGTATACAAAATTTACAAATAAATTAATACTAACTACATATGAAAAGAGTAAAATTAATTCAGTGCTGAACCCAATCTTACTGAGAAAAGGTCAGGAGACAGAAACCGTAGTTGTATTTCTAGTCATCATATTAAAAAATGATTCAGATTAATAATGCTTTGGGTTTTTCGATTTTGAAATTCATAATATACCTCCTATGATATTATTTAACTCATATTTACATTTTCTTTAATTTCATGTATCTAAATTTTGGTTTCACAGTTGTATAAAGACAAATATTATGTACTCAAAATGCAGTGGATATTTCTCATATTATATACGTCGGGGATGTAGAACTGGGATTATAATTTCGTTGTGAAATTAGTCGAGTGTCGGTTGCGTGCCATTATTTACATTAGTATGTACTTCATGGGCAGTGTGGCTAACTACGGAATATTAAATAATTGTATTCTTACCCGGAACTCTTCTTGTGTGGGGAACTTTGTGACTTTTCAGACTCCAGTAACTTGGTGGTCGAATCCTTCATAAATCCTGTAAAGTATATGTTATGTTAACATTTTGAGTTGAAGATGAACTATTTTATTTGGTTGTTTGTTAAGATAAAAATCGAATATACCTTTGCCTGAAGAACCGAAGACAGAACTGCCCAAATTGTTCAGACTGCTTGTAAAGTTATCTGCTTCTCTCGCGACCGCCTCTGTTGCAGCTTGCTCAGCCCCTCGCACGCCCTCCGCGACCTCTCCCAGTCTGTCACCAACAGCCTCTACTCCCTCCTTGCCTGCACCCTTGATCTCTTCAAGTTTATTATCAGCTGATACTTGGAAACCCTCAAAACTACTCTTTGCGTCACCGAACAACTGTTTCGAACTCTCTTCAACGTGTTGTTGTGTATCTGACAGAACTAACTTCGCCGAATCATCAAGACTGTCGAAGGTGTTACCGGCTGAACTCTGGAAGGAATGAAGAGTATCTTCAGCAGAGCTGCCCAGGCTATGTACGTCATCCCTCATGGAGGCGAACGTGTCTCTGGTCGAGCTCTGCATCTCATCCCACTTGTCCTTGGCCTCGCTCACTTTGTCCTTCGCCGAACTTTCGACCTTATCGAAAGTACTCAAGGTTGAGTCTTTAGCGTGATCGAATGCCTGTTTCGACGACCGTTGCAGGTCGCTCGCTTTGTCAGCAGCCGATTGTTGTAAGAATTCAAATTCCTCTTGTCCTGAATGCTTGATATCATCGAACTTATTGCTTACACTAGTTTGTATTTCTCCTTTTTTGTTTGATGCGGAATTTATCGCATCTTCTGCTGTTTTACTGATTTGTTCTGTCGCGAGTTCAGCTTCTTGTCTTATCCTGTCTAATTCGCTTTTCGCTGCGTCTTTCTGATCATGGAAGGCCTGTCCGAATTCGTCAGTTTTGCTTTGTATCGCACTACTTACAGCTGCTGTTTTGTCGTGAACTGCTTTTGATACTTCATTGGCTTTGTCTTGTGCTGCGTCTTTCAATTCGCCGGTTGTACTTTCAACTGATGATTTGATTTCTGAAGCCTTTTCCTTAACTGAATCCTTAGCTTCTTCTGCTTTGTCATGTCCAAAGCTGAATGTTTCACTGATAGCGTGACCGATACCGCTGAACGTGTCCTTGATGGCTTCTCCAAAACCATGGGATTTCTCGTGTACTTCGTGACTAATTTCTCCAGCTTTATCTTGTACGGCGTCCTTAGCTTCTGAGGTCTTATCGTAGATCGCATGTCCGACATTGCTTGCTGTATCCTGAATGTTGTTGCCTACATTGCTAGCCGTTTCATGTACTGCGCTTCCAAAGCCAGTGAATGTGTCGTGGATAGCATTACCAAAATCACTCGCTTTGTCCTTAGCTTCGCTGGCTTTGAATTGGATTTCTTGTCCAACTTTGTTAGCGCCATCTTGCACTGAGTGTCCGATCTCACTGGCCTTGTCTTTCGCCTCAGCTGTTTTGTCTTGTATCGCTTGTCCAAATTCATTCACCTTATCTTTAGCTTCAACAGTCTTGTTTTGTATTGCCTGTCCAAATTCATTTGCCTTGTCTTTTGCCTCAGCAGTTTTGTCTTGTACCGCCTGTCCAATTTCATTGGCCTTATCCTTAGCTTCCGAAGTTTTTTCCTGTAATGTTTGTCCGAATTTGTTTGCTTCATCGTTAATTGCGTGTCCTACTTCACTGGCCTTTTCTTTAGCTTGGCTAGTTTTGTCGTGGATAGCAGCTCCTAGTTTTGTTGCCTCATCAGTCACGGATTCTTTAAAGCTGACGGTTTTGTCTTGGATGGAATGACCTACATCAGCAGCGGTTTCTTGGATAGAATCTTTGACTTGCTTTGATTTGTCAACTACAGCTTCTTTAGCTTCGGCTGTTTTATCCTGGATAGCCTGTCCTACTTCTGAAGCAGTTTCATTGATTGCGTTACCAACTTCATTGGCTTTGTTCTTAATGGCGTCTTTGGTTTCGCTGGCTTTTTCTTGGGCAGCGGCTGCTGTCTCGTGTATAGCGCCTTTTACCTCATCGACTTTTCCCTCAACTGAAGCTTTGATCTCGCCAGTTTTTAATTCAACGGCTTGCTTAGCTTCAGATGTTTTGTCATGAATAGATTTTTCAATTTCATCTTTCTTGTTTTGTGCCGCCTTCTCGGCTTGCTTCTTCGCCTCTTCTGCGCTGTGTGCTAGTTGTTCAGCTCCTTCTTTAAGTTCACCTTGTTTCTTGGCGACAGCATCTTGCAGCTCATCTTTCTTCGCAGCAGCTTTGTCTAAGGCTTGGTTGGCTGATTCTTTGCCTTCAGCGATTTTACCTTTCACCTCTTCTTCGAGTTTTTCCTTTTCTCCGAAGATATTGTGAACCAGACCGGTGAAAAAGCTTTTGCCTTCCTTCGCCTTCTTTTTGGCTTCTTTGGCCTCTTTCTTTAGCTCCTTCTTCGATTTTTCCTTGACTCCCTCTAAAGAGTCGCCCATAGACTGGAGCTTTTCATTAGCAGATGCCTTCGCATTGTCTAATGTATCCTTAGCTCCTGATTTAACGTCTTGAGCTTTGCTATTGATAGCATCTTTAGCGTCATGGACAGCTTCTGAAACTGCATTAGCGCCATCTTGTGCTTTGTGCTTAATATTGTTGGCAGCACCTTCAGCTGCCTTCCCTACTTGAGCTAGTTTCTCACCATCTCGGAGCTTTGTTTCTTCAGCCCTTTCCATAGCAATGAAGTTAAGCATCATAGCTTTACTGTTGATATCGTCTTTCACAACGCCAGCTTGATGGATAACGTTATCAACGAGGTTTTTAGCGGAAGTCTTAGCGTCTTCAACTTCAGAAGAAACGTTAGTCTTCAAATCATCAGCTTTAGCATTAACATCATCTTTAACTTTCTCTGCAGATTCCGAGATATCGCTAAGTTTACTGCGAGCACCATCTTCTAGTTCGTGTAATTTGTCCTGAGTACCAGAATTAGCTTTCTCAAGATCACCGAGTAGATCATTCGCTGCATCACCAGCTTTGAGTTTAATTTTGTCCTTTTCATCTTCAATGATGCATAAGCCTTCTGCTAAATCACCATGAACTTTATCAGACACATCATGTAGTTTCTCGTGTGCTGCAAAGTGGACTTGTTCTATCCTGTCGACGACGTTAGAGGTTTCATCATGTCGGTGTTTCTGGCCCTTCTTATATTTGCCTTCGCAGCATCCGACGTAGAATTGGAACGGATCTGTTTTCTGGGTGCACACTGGTGTATCAACTGGTTGCATGCGTTCATACTGTTCATAGAGATTATCTTCGATGGGTTTTGAGTTCTCTTCATCAACAACCAGTTTTGTTGCGTAAACGTGGTTGCTAATATCATCATCTCCTTTCTGATTGGGTGCAGTTTTAAGATCTTTGAACACATCGTCGATTTTACCTAAGAGGTCTTCGCTGATGAGTCTGGGGGCAGGTTTGGGTGGTGACTTTTCTTTAGGATCCTTTTCCTTGGAATCCTTTTCTTTGGAGTCCCTTTCCTTAGATTCTCTAGGTTTAGGCTGTGGTTTGGGAGAGGTTTCTTTCTCATCTTCCTTGTCTTCGCTATGGCTGAAGACGTTTTTGACCTTGTCTGCGAGGCCGCCAAGGAAGCCCACGCTTCCTTCTGGCTTCTTCTTGCCCTTCTCGAGGGTGTTCATTGGGGTCTTATCTTCGTCTGAATCGAATGTTGCTTTAGTCTTGTTTGAGTCTACGTTAAGAGCGCCGCCGTTGACTGTAATATACAAGAAAGAAATTATTATTTTCTACGATTACATTTTTGGATATTTAAATGATTCTGTTTGTTATTGTTTGTAGTTACCTTGAGGTTTAGAATCTTTGCTATCATCAGTTTCTTTCGTTTGGTATTTCACGTCGCCGTTTGTAATGATCTTGTCCTGGAACAATAACAGACGTCATTACCGATCTACGCACAATTTCGTAACTATACGGGTATTCGTTATTACTCGACGTAGTAAGTAAACCAAGTTTTTTCGTTTTACTTTCTTTTTACTTTTGAAGTTTATTAACTTGAATATTTTTTTTATAGAATGCTTGGGTCATAATCTACAATCGATAACGAAGTTATTAATATGGTTTTTAAAATTTTAAGAATTTTAAGTCCGGGCTAACCTCAAAAAGTACTGCATGAATTTACTTTAAATTTTGCATGAATATTACTAAGAGGTCAACATATATAAATAAGATATATTTACATGTCCATTGACCTGTCGGTCATGTGAGTATGGCAGGGAGGCAGGTCCCAGGCTATTATTATGGTCGCCGCTCCAGTGGAAGCTGAGCTCATCCTTCAGTGCGTCGAATCCTTTGGAAAATAAAAATGTGTTCTACATTAATAGGGATGATGACGGGGTATGAAAATTAAAAATCTAATTAGTTCGTCAGTTAGATTATGAAAAAATATAAGACGTTGTATAATAAAATGATACTTAGATAAAACGAATCAAAGTTTAGGAGTGGGGGTTAAAACGTCATTTCTACGTATAAAATGTACACAGAAGTGACGTCACGCGACATTTCAAATCAATATACCGTCAAAAGTATTCGTTTCTGTAAAAAATAAAAAATACGTGTCTAATGATTTAAAATAATCTACCAGACGGACATTAAAATAAAAATTAGTCATCTACCCTATTATAGGGACTATGCCAATTATGCATTAGAAACCTATTTGCTATGTCAATTTTGCCTAGAAGAGACGCAGTGTGCCATTTGAAATTAATATCTTCGTAAGTTTTTAGTGATAAGCGTAAACAAATGTACCTTTTGTTTGTCTTTGTTAGTAAAAAAACCTCATCGTTGTCGTCATTTTGAAAATCATTCAAAATGTATAAATGTACTAAATTATTCTAGTTACAGGTGTTCGTTTCACTTTCAGTAAATCTTTGTAATAGTAATAAGAAAATGAGTACCACGTAAATTTAAACTTACCAGACTGGTCCAAGTTGAGGTAGTCGACTTGGCTCTTCCCAGCGCGCGGTGCGATGCGCTCCGGCAGCTCCACGTCCAGTACACAGGCCGGGGTCTGGGACTGCTCGCCCTTGGGGACCTACGATACGAGATATTAATGTCAAAAAGATGCCAATATATAACTATCCCACCTTATACTCGAAGGTGAAGGTGAAAATTATTACCTAACTTATTTAAGTTACTTTTTTAATGTATGATGAATTATAATATTCTCTGCGACTCCGTATCGACATCAGCCCTATTGGGCCCCATCCACGGTGGTCTGATGGCTCTTTGACATTAAAACTGATACAATTTTCGGCAACATTATAATTATTCCTTTCTTACATCCCAAACTTAATCCCTTTTCATTTTCCACACTTAATTGAGTAATCTTACCTTAGGTTCATTCATGAAGTAGATCCTGCCTGATGGGTTCTCCTCGTGGTGCTTGACGCGCACTGTGAACTCTACGCGATTATCTTTGAAAGCCTGAAACAATAAACACAATGACATAATCTAATAATATAGAATGGAATTCACTTCAAAAGTATTATTGTTGAACCGGTAACAGCAACATTGTAAATGGTAACATTGAGCACTAAATTCAACCTTGCCTTTTTGTAATAAATACCAAATGACGAGTAAATAACAGATGGGTCAGGATTTGACATTACGACAATCTTCAATTAGGGACGTAAAGACAGTGGTTCGCCAATTATCGAATGGAGAATTTAAAACATAGTCTTACAATCTTGATAGAAACTCCAAAAATTGTAGAATTGTAAATTAAAAAAAAAATTGAACGGAAAATTACCTCAAAAGTCAGCATGGGTTGACTACCAGACTTGGTGACAGGCACCAGGTTGCCAGAGAACTCCAGGTACACGTCTTTACCGTCCAGGAATCGAACTGATGTCGAGTGGGCCACTTCTGTGTAGTGTTCCTGTAAAGAAGAGTTTAATTTATATAGTCAAAGAATTTTAAATTTAACAGGGGTATAATCTTATACAACATGTATATAAGATTAGTATTAGGTTTAACATATAAGACGAATTGTTAAACTTTCACTCACATTATGTAGAACAAATGCAGGAGAAAAAAACGAATCAAATATATCTCTGTTTTACCGTCGCCGTAGTCATTAGCATACAGAATTCTCAGAATACTTAAGTAAAAAGCTTCGAATCCAACTAGATTTTAATATTAACCTTAAATATTGAGTGCTGTTTTCTAGACTACTTATTAAATTATTTTAATATCATCATCAACAGCCTATAAATGCCCACTGCTGAGCAAAGCCTCTTCTCACAAGAAGAAGGTTTGAGCATTAATCACCACGCTTGCTCAATGCGGGTTGGCGATTACAAACTTATAATTAGAAATTATAAGCCCAGGTTTCCCACACTATATTTTAGTATTTCTTATTATTTAAACTATGTAGTTCTTTAGGATATTTATGCTAATAATATAATTCACTGAATAATAACATGTAGTGTACACACACCTGTTGCAGTAGAGTTTCATATGCGTATCTGTCAGTGATGGTCATGACGAGCAGTCGTCCCTCGAGCGCGTCCAGTCGCTTGCCCAGCACCACTATACGCACGTCGAACGGAACTAGCAACATCTCTCTGGAATACAAAAGAAACAACACAATATAGATATTAACCATATCCCGCTGAGAGTCAATGCCGACAAACAAACAAACAAAAAGTGATAAAACTATTGTTTTTTTAACACAAATTTTAGTCCCAATTGTCCTGTACTATTGTATCAGTATTCTTAAATATTGCAATAAGTTTAATAGGATTAAATTACAATTAACAGTTGAAGAATAACCATATGAACATTCTTATTAAAATTGATCTTTATTTAAATTATTGTGTTTTCGGCTTATTCACGTAATAATTTGACGAGGAACTCGACTAGTTTCAAGTAGCGGCGCGACAGACGCCGCGTCACGGGTCACGAAATGCTGCTCATGAATATGAGCCTCTCGCATGGCTTGAAATTAGTCGAGTTCCTCGTCAAATTATTACGTGAGTAAGCCGAAAATATAATAATTTATTTAGTACGAATTTTATTTGCAAAAAGTCTGACAGCGAAAACACAGACACATTGGTTCTTATTCCTGTTTGATTAGCAAGTAAAAGTTCGAGTGTAAATTAAAAATATTTTTATGAGAAAAAAAATCAATATTTTGTAATTACCTGTACAATTCTGTGGCCAGTTTGGTAGCGTCGCTGACATTTTGACAGTTCATCATCCAGAATCTGCAATGGAATTTGTAAGTGTTTAATATTTTTTATTTATACATTTATACATTTAGAACACCAACACCTATACAATTTGATTGAATAGAATGTGGTATGCAACAAAAAAAACAATTACGGGTTTCCACTATTATTTTTACGTTTTATTTTATTTCGATTTATGTTTTTCGTTTTATTTTGCGTAAAGTTTTAGAAGCCGAACTCATTAAATGGCGTTATAATTTTCGGAAAGGGATTGCCGTAAATAAAGGTGTAAATTAACAGTTTATCACATGGTTGACAACGCATTTATGATATTATACTATGGTATTACGGAATCTCCTTACCACCAGGCGACCCATTTTTTTTAAGGGGGGAAAGTTATCGAATAACTGCTCCCACCTGGCGGAGGCGGGAGGGAGTGTCAGACTCTTACTGACTAAAAACCACCCCGTTCCGTCTCCTGCATGTCGAGCCGGTGCCGTGACCCGTTAGGTTCTCAGGCGACCCATAAGGTTAGTTTTTTGTGGAATAAGCCGGTATACGAATAGACAGATCACTTGATGGTAAGCAATCAACGCCATGGGCACCCGAAACACAAGACCCGTTACAAGTGCGTGCCTTTTAGGCCTCCGGTAACCTCATTTGCACTACGAAACACACTTTTGCGACAGATTAATAATATGTTCTTAATTATATAGTATATATAATATGTTCTTAATCACCTCGCCGAGACCGTGGTAGTGAAGGAGGCGCAGTCGTCGGTGACGGTGAGCGGGGTGGAGCCGGTGACGTCCTCCCACACGGCGCGCGCCTGCCCGCCCATTATGGAGCATAGCAAGCGCAGGTTGGACGTCGATGGTTTCTCTGTGCTGTCCTGCAAAATTAAATATGTGTCTTGTATATATACCGTTAAGGAATTCAACAACCTTTCGATGATGGGAACTATAAAATGATACCATTATTTATAGAAAATTAACATTCATCATGCATTTCTTGGGGCGTGTAAAAAAAAGTAAAAGTTTCACTAAAAGAACCACCAATATTAATAATTATAGTATGGCAATTATAAGTGTCTGTTTTGAGTGAGTACAACACTTATGAATACCTGGGAATCGAATCTGAGACCTTTAAATAGGTATTTGCAGTTATGATTAATCGACTCCCGTGACGATCACAATGACGTGAGTAGATCTATGATACCATATAAGTATTGGTAGATAAAATAACTATACTAGTCATTATAACTTACAGGTAAAGCCGGCAACGGTGCAGTCAGCGTAATGGAGCGATGGAACTTGCGTCGCCGTGGTTCCACCGTCAAGACGGGCGACACGGCGGCGTGCCGCGGCAGCACGCGGCGGCACTGCGCGGCGCTGGCCGCCTGCGCCTGCAGACCCACGCGGATGCGCTTTGTCAGCGCCGCTGCAGGGAACTGGGCTTGGACCTGGAAGACGAATCGCGATTAAACTTAATGTTTGTGAAATCTCTAGTTAAATAAATGCAATCGATTCTCTTTTTAGCTATGTATCTTATTAGATACATAAGCAGCTACTTATATATCAACGATCTCGTAAACGGCTCCAACCATTTTCTTGAAATTTTATATCTCGGAGGTTTTGGGGGCGATGAATCGATTTAGCTAGCTAAAAAATAAACACCGAGCAAAGCTACTACCGAGAACTATAAATTTTATTAAATTTTCATTCCTTATCATTTAGTAGCAAGGTTTTTCTTTGACTGTAGAATTCTGTTTTAGTAACGTAAAATCTCTTCTTCGACTTCCAAACCTAAATCAAAGCCAGTAAAGTTCAAATTCAAAAAATACACGAACCTGTGGTATATGTGCACTGGAGATGGTGCCTCCCTCGGGCCCGATGACATGGACCTCCTGCCTCACTCGCGACACACAGGCGAGGTAGTGAGGGAAGTCGCACGTAATGATCCGTGTCACTCGCTCCCCACTCTCTCCTATGGTCTCGTTGCCGCCGTACTCTTGGCGCTCGCGTTGTAATGCTTCCTAGAAATGGGAAAGGAATATTTAGATTTTTGGACTGTAGATTAACACGTTAAACACCATGGGGGTCACCGGTGACCGGCGTTAGCGGAGTATTTACCTTCAACAGTTTTTTATTGGCAGTTAAATTCTTAATAGGTGGAAGTTATAATTTGAATTTAAATCTTTTAAGTTCGATCTGAAGCTGGTTTTTAATGAAATGAAGCGAATTCATGTTGCCTATCCCAGTAAGACAGACTGGCATAAACATTTCATAGGACTTTAATTTTAAAACTTTATTTTAATAAAATTTTATGAATAGCTCCACAGACTGCCCCAATTGTTTCAATAGTATCCTAAGAGACTTTTACATAACGATAAATAAAAATAATTTGATTTACACGCATACTAACCTGTATCAGTGGGTTGTCATTGTTGTGTAGGTAGTGGTCCTGCCAGGTCTCGCCGGTGTCAGAGCGCAGTACGACAATCTCTCGCTCGCGGCATGAAGATGTGTATATCGGCACCTCGATCACCACTGGACTGTTTGGGAAAACAAAAATTAGGTACATACGTCATCACTTTTATATTAGCCGCAAGAAGCCAACTGCTGAACATAGGCCGCTCACTATGACTTCCAAATCGGTTAGTTGGAAACGACCAGCATCCAGCAGCTGTAGCCAAATGACATTTAGCGCTTATCTACTTGTAGAGTAGAAAACTAAATTATTATTATAAATATAAATTGTAATTGACGTGAATTTTGACACTTATCAGTGTTATCGCCATACATTTTGATTTCTACTCTCTTTGTAGACAAGCGCTAAAGTGGCGTTTGGCTAAAGGCCCTGAGGCTATAGCCAAATGCCATTTAGCGCTTGTCTACTTGTAGAGTAGAAAACTAAATTATATGGAATTGACGTAAATTTTGACACTTGTCAGTATTATCCCTATACATTTTGATTTCTACTCTTTTTGTAGACAAGCGCTAAAGTGGCGTTTGGCTAAACGCACTGGTTACTCAAAAGGTTCAGGGTCACTAATGCACCGTCATCTAGTGTTGTAAATGTATAGGTATAGGCTATAGCCAATGCTTCAGAAGGGCGGTAACCTTTTTTGCCACCATAGTGCTATAAAACACGGAATCACCATTTAAGGCAGGCAACATCTTCGTCATGTAAGAATTCATGACGAAGATGTTGAATTAAACCGTAGCTAAGCCAACTAATACAATGATTTCCAATTTCAATATCAAAAAGTACTTACGCCAAGAACTTAGCGCCCTGTGGTTGTAACTCAAGCAACCTTGAAGCTAGGGCTTCTCCCTCCATGAGTGGTGGTGGGGCAGCGGCCGGCGCCCGTCGTGTGGCAGCCCTGCAGGTGACGCGGGTGGGCGCCGCGCAGGCGGCTGGAGGGACTATGATGCGCACGCCACCACGCCGCTTGGCCTTCATCGCACCTCCTCGCGCGTCCACCACGAATGATACCAGGAAACTAGGGATGGAGAAAAATGTATTGAATAGATGTATTTAATCTCAAAGATTCAATTGTGGAACTTGGAGAGATTCATAGATTTCATTAAGTGTTTCTAATTATTTTATTTTTAAGGATGAAATACTAATAGTTTCTGTATTTTTTATTATGCACTACCATGATATGTACCCATATTTGCGAAATAAAATATCTTTATCTTTATCTTTATCTTAATACTACACACCTTATTTAGCGTGCTGGACATAGATAGAAATAAGTTAAACTGTTATAAAACCTAATTAATTAATTGTTTCTTGTAATGTACTTGAATTTTTTTAAAGTTTTTGTAATGTAGTTGAATTGTATTAGAATTAATGAACATTCGATAACATTATAACATAACATCACAAGTTTTTATTCCCAAAGGGGTAGGCACATTACTGCACTCAATGCCACTGCGCTTTGTAATATTACTTCTCACTATTTATGTTATGAGTCCCATGTAATAGGGGATGAGCCTATTGCCATATACCGGACACTATTCCAGACTCCGTGCTACTACTGAAATTTTTTTAAAAACCCAGTAATACTATGCCCGGCCCGGGAATCGAACCCGAGATCGCGTGCCCAGCAGTCGCACCTACGACCACTCGGCCAACGATGCAGTCATGTCAGAAACATTCCATATAAGAAAACGGCGATATTTTGGGAAATTGAACCTTCACTTAACAAAATTAATATGTGATAGGTTACCCCACACACTGTAAGAAAAACTCATTGTACTAGAAGTTAATTCAATTGATATAAACATACCCAATGTCCAGTGGCTGCCGGTCGATGGTGGCGACCTTTCTATCATTGTTGCTGGGCCAGAGATGTCCATCGGTGACCGTGTCCTCGAGCGGCTTGGCTCTGTGCAACGTACCCGCCTCGCTGTTCATGTAACGGTATTGTTGCTGCTGTTGGATTGGGCACTCTACCTCGCCTGTGGAATAGAACAATAGATTGTAAACAGAGGAAAAAAATAGAAAAGATGTGGTTTACTTAGTGTATACATTTTTATAAAAATCAGGAATAAACCTATGACCATACAATACATATCCGACAATACCAAACGTTGCAACTCTATTATACTTGGTACTATTGTAAAATCAATAACACATTACCCTTCACATCAAAACCAGAGAAAAACCAATAAAAAAATCAATACAACCAACCGCAAAGCACATATTATTTTAACGAACATATAACATAACATCACGGCTTTTGTCCCGAAGGGGTATGCAAAAGTAATTATACTGTAATGTAACACCCATTTTTCACAATTTATGTTATGAGTCCCATGTAATAGGGAGTGATCCTATTGCAATTTACCGGGCCCAATTCCAGACTCCGTGCCACTACTGAAACTTTTTTAAAAACTCAATTTTATTTTGCCCGACCCGAGAATCGAACCCGAGATCCCTTTCCACTTGCGACCACTTTGCTACTGATGCAGTAAATTTTTTATTAACGAATTATTTTAACAAATAATAGTAAAATAATGTAACACCAATTTATTTTGTATAAATCATCAAAAAAATCTTTCATACAACGAGATGAATTCGGAAACTATTGGAAATGAGGTCAGATGTGTAAGATATAGATGGTTGACCTCTTTTCTGGACGTTTGACAGACGTAAATCGTGCCCTTGGGTCTGGTTATAAACTTAGCAAGTGAATTCTATCGTCAGACCAGTGATAAACAATATTGGATATAGCTTTTACCCGCGGCTTCGCTCGCGTCACAAAAGGATAAAAAGTAGCCTATGTGACATATACCAATACACACAGCGCCATCTATACCAATATTTTTGTTTTTCCTAGGAAATATCAATTTTTTCCGAGATAAAAAGTACCCTATTATTTAATCCAGACTTCTAACTTTACGTCTGCAAAATTTCAAAGCAATCGGTCTAGTAGCTACGGCGTGAAGGCGGAACAAACAAACAAACAAACAAACTCACTTTCCGATTTATAATATATAAGTATAAGTATAAGTATAAGTAAGGAAAGTAAGGAATAAGGATAAAGGTTATTTGGAGCTTGACTGTTGCTTGTCTTGTCTAGTTAGAATTTGTGACTGCTTGGTGAGAGTGGGTGAAAGTGTAATGTGGTCGAGGATTTGAAATATAGAACGTTTTGCAAGATTCTTTGTTTTTGAACCTTGACAATAGGGTAGTAGTATCCTAAATTTTATTTTAATACCTGTCTGGTAGATTATTTAAAACACAGGCACCGAATTTTCTTTTATTACAAATTAAATACTTTCGACGATATATTGATTTTAAACTGTCAAACACCAAGCGGTCACCGGTGACCGCGACCTATTGTTCTTTAATTGTGTCTATAAAACCGGTACTCGACGAGTTAAATATCGTGTGACGTCACGATTTACTACATTTTAAAGGGTAACAAGACGTAACGACCCCTCTCCTAAACTTAACTACGTTTTATCTAAGTATTGTTTTCCTATAAAATAGACATATATTTTTTTTATCTAACTAAGAGTAATCACCTTTTTATAATTTTTATACACTGTCTAATACTATTATATACAAAATAGGATAATAACAGAGTTTAAGCCTTTGTGTTTGGTGCGAAATCTTTAAGAATTCGAAAGAATATAAAGCTGCCCGAAAATTCAGTGGGTACGCTCCATTGTACGCTCCATAATATAAAATTGTTGAAAATACAGTGAATAAAATTATGTCAGTATTTTGAAGTGTAAACAACTTACAACAAATGAATTTTACTAACCATGGGTTACCTGCAGATATGCAGAAGGTTCAAAACCGCATGTTTACAGAAATAAATAACAAACGGAATTTTACAAAATGTTGTAAATAACATTCCATGAAATAATTTTGGAGTTATCTAAACACATCTTTCTACAAGTCATGAGTAGTTTTATTTCATTGCATAAAGTGGGTAGGCAGAGACCGACATTTTTCTCTAACATAAGCACTTTAAACTGCGCGTGGGCAATTGCACGCGCAATAGATCACGCACTTTTGTCTTGACTGGAGAATTGAACTCAATATGTAAATAGACATAATATAATACGTTTTCAATTTGACAGTTTGACCCACATCTTAGATTATATGAAATTCGTTGTTTTTTTTTCTATTTAAAAAGTGTCGTTGTCCTTTCTTATTGGTTTTATATAAGATTTTTTTCATGGCTAGGGTCTCTGAAAATATGGTTGGTGTATGGTAATAGATTTTCTTTTTGTGAATAAGAGTCCCGTTTTGACTCGAAACTAGTAGAGCTTCTCTCAATCATTTACGTGAGTAAACCGTTATTTTAATTAATTTGGCAATAGGATTGTGATGTTTTCCACATATGTATATTCTCTCTGAACATCCATCAGAGTTTTTAACCGACTTCAAAAAAAGGACGAGGTTCTCAATTCGACCGTATATATGTTTTTTTAGAATTCCATTAGCATTATCTACTAAGGATAACTCATACAACTTATACATTAAAACAAAATTATGTATAATATTTGCAGATAAACTCACCTCCTTCGTCCTCCGAGTCGCTCATGAATGTGTCCTGCATTAGTTCTGGTGCCGCTACTCTGTATTTGCCTTCCAAGCCACCTGAAACAAACAAATATGATATTTAGTACAATTGTTTTAAAGTCTCTATTACCTTAATCTTAAAGTAACTTGGATATCATGTTTGTGAACGTTATTCGTGTACACTTGGTCAAAGTGTCAAGTAAAATACAAGATTACGATAATTTCCCGCTAATTTTCATGTCAGTGTTAACAAATCCAAGGATTTAAATCACATCTTTATCATAGCATTTTTATACGGTTAATGCTGTTACTCAGAAACGCGCTATACATTGCAAGAATTCCAATTTTCATTCTATTTCATAGTTCTTTTACGAGTTTACGGCTTCGGGACGGGAAAAAGATGCCATAGACTACTTCAATTTATTGCACAAACAGGGTCATTTATCAATAAAGATCTGCATCCTAAATTGCTACACAAAGTACCGTTTTCAAAAGCCAATTTTGCTCCTACATTGGGTTCGTTTGGAACACAATGGTGCTATAAATAGTAACAGGATGCATACAAGTATTCAAGTATTGTCAACGGTTTCATCCAGCTGATTTTTATACAATTTGATTACAACGCCATCTTTGGATTGTTTTATGAGGTAATAAGAAAGTAACGGAGTTTTAGAAGGTGGTCAAAGTAGTCAAGCACTTAAGTTGGGTAAAGGTAAGACTTTAATAAATTAATGGGTTGGGTACATATTTTTTTATTTAAGAAAATCTATTAATCAATTATAAAAAATGCGTGGTTGGCGTAGTGACTGGGCGAAGGGCTGCTGAGCTACGTTTCAAGGGTTCAGTTCCCACACAGAATACTACTTTCGTTATAGACTAATTGTTGGTTTGGATGAACTAGTTAAGACATGCACCATTTGTGCTTTTAAACGCACTAACAACACAGGACAAAATTTAACCTCCTTTTTACCAACCTCTTCTAAATTAAGAACTCCTAAGCTAAGAAATACGATAACTACCTATAAGTGACACCTAACAGCGCTAGTAAACCGACGTGAAGCATCGCTTGCGTTGTGTTTCGTCGTGTGAGTGAGGTTACCGGAGGCCCAATTAACCACCCCTTTCCCAATCTCCCCAATTCCTGAAACGCACTTGTAACGCCTCTGGTGTTCCAGGTGTCCATGAGCGATGCCGATTGCTTACCATCAGGTGATCAGTCTGCTCGTTTACCGGCTTATGCCATAAAAAACGGTCATAAGCGTGTAACAAAAAAAAAGAGTCTTGAATTACAGCCTATTAGGCCCACAGAAAAGATTCTAGGTAAGCTAAATTGTGACTAATGTATCGTTTATATGATTGTATGTAGGTGTGTGTGGCGGACACATGGCTAAAATATGTGAATTGTGTAATCCAAATATGAGTTGAACTCAATTGTGTATAAGGTCGTCGTCTAGTTACTAACAGATCTGTTCATGACATGGATTGTAACTGTTTTAATGTTACGTTGAATATATTGCAGTTTTATTGCTTTTGTAGTGGATATGTCGCGTTTAATTAATATTGTAATCGATGTAAACAAAATAAATGTTTTACTTAGATCAATGGAACAGATTATGCTAAGTGCTTGTCTGTTTTTGTTTTCTAAGTGATAGTTTTATGGTGATGAGAAAATTAATATCTGACATGCCAGCTGGTCAGACATAAATGCAATATTATTATTACTTAAATAGCTTTTGGACTCAATGCCGCTGACTTTTTGTTGTTTGGGTAACCCACTGATCATACTGACGGTATAATGACATAAGGTATATAGTCTGTAAGATTCTTGATACAGATTCTAAGAAAATAAATAAAACTAAACTTTTCCTATAGCTCTGGAAATTAGCGTCAACATCAAACGCTACCTACGCATCAATTTGTGTAAGAAGTCTTCATTGAGAGCGCAAAGTATCACTTACGCTGCAAAAGAAAATATTCACACGGAGGTACGTGACTCATTTCTTACGAAATCTGTATGTAATACAATCTATACACATTTTTACTACTAGTCATTGCACTTTTACTTGGCAATGTACTTAATCAAGCAAATTCATTATTGCTATGAAATTAAGGACCTTTTTGCTTACTCTTCTTCGTCATCGTCAACAGCCTATGAAACAATCCACAGCCGGACTAAGAGCCTCCTGTACATAATAGGAGATCGAATTATTCTTTCCTTGATCTTTGTCAAGACTATTGAGCCAGAAAAATGTTGCTACATTCGCCAAAACGGTTAACTAAAGATGCTTACTTTAGTACAACAGCAGTTGTAGCCAAATGCCACTTAGCGCAACCGAGTCTCCAATACGATGTTGTCGACTATACTGCCAGTGTCAGGTGGTGCACTTAGCGCTTGTCTACATATAGAATAGAAAACCAAATTAGGTACCTATATGGGATTGACGTAAATTTTGACACTTGTCAGTGTCATCCCCATACATTTAGTTTTCTACTCTCTCTGTAGACAAACGCTAAAGTGGCGTTTGGCTAAAGGCACTGAATACATAGCTAATATTAAAATAAATATAATGCACGTGTATCTACAGATACAGGGCAAAGAATTTTCCAAAGAAAGTGCCCGCTGCCGGTGTAAGGAAGGGCATTAGAATAGATGTATGGTTTCGGCGCAGGAGTCGATTGGCGCTCGCTTGCATACCTAATTGATAGAAACGACAACTTGTCTATCAAATCAGGGTTCGAAGCTGGTGTTGTATTTTGTTTTTATATTGGTTGTAATTGTAAATATTTTGATTTATGAATCGAATAAAAGAGGAAACTTTTCACACTTTATAGCAGGAAAATGACTTTTAAAGCTCTGAATGTAAACTGTGACTTTTAAAGTGCAGTACATTCACATATAACTTTTTCTTCCGGCAAGTAGGTGGTATGACCAATTTTCTTGTACATTTATCTAGATCTAGATAAACTTACTAAGAATGTAGCTTTTAATTGTTTGGCAACAAAGTGCAAACAAATATCAACCTTATAACAAAAAAAACATTTTACTAATTTACAATTTATATGTACAGCGGCGCATCTTTTGTAGTCAGTTATGTCGACAATTGAATGCCCGTTAATGCATGGTTTTGCATTTTGTCATATTTTAAGTTTACAGTTAAGGTCGGTGACAGTTGTTTGGTTCTTTCTGACCTTACGGTTGACCTCTAGGGCGAAAGGGTGGAACTAATCTTGGCCGTTTCTTGGCCCTTTGTTGGTGTTATGGTTTAGTAGTCGGATGTATTGTTGTGGTCTTTTTGAGATGAGTACCTTTTAGATCAGGGTTAGAGCGTAGGTACTTACTACTTAGGTAGTATGCCTTTTTCTTTATCCATCCGTACAGTGAAGGGGAGAGTCTTTGAGAGTCGTAGTAGTCGAGTTTGAACAGATCTAGAATACATCTACTAGATGAGTTTAGTATTCAAATTGCCCACTACAAATGCATGTTCTTAAGTGCAAAAGGTGATCGTGCTAATGCATCACATACATCACGCATTATATTTATGAATTTTATTTACATACGAAGTTATTGGTAATGGGCACATAGTCCTTCATTTTTCAGTTACTATAAATGCCAATAATATTATTATGTATAATAGGCGCACACGTATAGAAAGAAAGAAAATCCATTTATTATTATATATTTACGACACAAAACAAGAATTTAGAAACACAAAAAAGCCTATAGTGCGTCGCAGCGCAAATACCTATGACAGATTGTCTTCGCATATGACACATTAGGACATACATAATTCTTAAAAACTTAAAAGCGCAATAAACTAGGATCGAACTCCAAACTTTGGCCACTCAACCAAACACGTCATTACATAACAGCACAAAACTATAGTGATTTATGTTAAACCATAATTTACTCGGTCGTAAAACATGTTGACCTGATTCCAAGTCCTACGGTCGATTTTTATGTCCGTAACAACTTTTCTAGAGGTAAGTGAAGAAAATCGATTGTTGCAATCTTTTCACTAAAACTGGTCTAATGGAAAATGTTTAAAATACAAATACAAGATTAGCTTTTACCCACGGCGTACGTTTACGTTAAGTACGTCGATAAAGCGGTGGGAATTTTAGAAAATTAACTCACCCTTTGAGTAGGAACCGTCATTATAGACACAATTAACTCGTCGAGTACCGGTTTTATAGACACAATTAAAGAACAATAGGTCGCGGTCACCGGTGGCCGCTTGGTGTTAGACAGTTTAAAGAACAATTTGTTGCGGTCACCGGTGTCCTCGCGGTGTTTGACAGTTTAATGCTCCTAATGAAATTAATTACAGACAACTTTACTAATATTATATTTATAAAAAGTTGTGTTTGAGTGATTACTGTTCTTTTACAGATTTTTATGGTGGAATCGTTAATTAGAAAAAATATATCTTTTTAAATATATTATAACGCCACAACACAGGTACGGAATGATATGTTGCTAGTTGCTATTTTTTTAATTTAAAAAGCTTTGCGCTGTTTAAGACAATAGGCACGCCCTCTACGGCTGTACATGACATTAATAAGTAATAACTTTAAAAAAAATGTACATAAGTTATGTTAACCTTCACATACTCCTTTTGGGAATAAGTAAAATTAAATGTTATCATAGATAAAATAATACCTCTTCATAAATACGAGTACCTTTCCATTTAATTAATATGGTGGGCGAAAACCTGATTCTTTTCAAGACAAATATTTAGAGGCAATGTAAATTTTGAATTAGATACATTAATTACCTTGCCTACTACAAGGATATATGATTTGATATTCCTGGATCGGGCAAAGAATTATTGAAAATAAGACCTAGAGTTATGTAGTCTGTAATAGTATCAAGCTCCCTAATCTCCCTATTGCATGGGACTCATTACATGGTAAAAAGTGGGGATTTTTAATATGTGTAGTACACTGCCTTCAAAGAAAAACCAGCGTAACCATATGGTAGGAAAACAACCTTGAAATGCATTACGGTTCTTACAGTCGCATGCAGGATGACGCGATAAAATGTCGTGTCGCATACACTAATTAGATTTATTCTTATG